TATATATATATATATATATATATACACACACACACACACATATAAAAGATTGTACCTCAGGCAGCGCCTGTGGCTCAGTGAGTAGGGCACCAGCCCCTTATACTGGGGGTGGTGGGTTCAAACCCGGCCCCAGCCAAACTGCAATAAAAAATAGCCAGACATTGTGGCGGATGCCTGTAGTCCCAGCTACTCAGGCAGCTGAGGTAAGAAAATCACCTAAGCTCAAGAGATGGAGGTTGCTGTCAGTTGTGACGCCACAGACGGAGTGAGACTCTGTCTCTAAAAAAAAAAAAAAGAGAGAGAGATTGTACCCCATGGCCAGGTGGAATTCATCACAGGAATAGCAAGGTTGCTATGCCATACCAAAATCAATTAATGTAATACATTAACAGAATAAAGAATTAAAAACACAATCATCTCCATAGATACAGAATAACCATATGACAAAATGTAACACCTTTTCATGATAATAAAAAAACATCTAGGCTTTGTGCCTGTAACTCAGTGGTTAGGGCATTGGCCACATGCACCAAGGCTAGCAGGTTCAAACCCGGCCCAGGCCTTCTAAACAACAATGACAACAACAACCACCACAACAAAAATAGCCGGGCGTTGTGGTGGGCACCTGTAGTCCCAGCTACTTGGGAGGCTGAGGCAAGAGAATCACTTAAGCCCAAGAGTTTGAGGTTGCTCTGAACTGTGACATCACAGCACTCAACTAAGGGTGACATAGTAGACAAAAAAAAGAATTCTAAATGAGGAATAAAAGAAATAATCTCTTCAACCTAATAAAGGACATTTATCTAAAAACTCACAGCATACTGTATACTTAATAGTGAACACCTGAACACTTACTCCCTGAGATGGAAAATAGATAAGGCCGTCCTCTCTCATTCCTTCTAGTCAGTGATTTACTTAAGGTTCTCGCTAGGGTAGTTAAGCAAGAAAAACAAAACATGTCAAACTGGATTAGAAGTAGTAAATTAGCAGATTATATAATCTTATATATGTATAGAAAACACTAAGGCTTAAATACCCACAGACACACTCAAAGACCATTAGAGCCAATAAACAAGTTCAGCAAGTTTCCAATATCCAAGACCAATTTATGAAAGACATTCTACTCCTGTATGCTGGCAATAAACAAACTGAAAATAAAATTAATAAAACAATGCATTTATTTATAGGAGCATCAAAAATGATTACAATACTTAAGAATAAATTTAATAAAAGTGTATATATAAACTTATACTTTGAAAGCTACAAAATATTACAGAAATTTAAAAGATTTAAATAAATGGACCAAAAAAATCCATGTTTGTGGATCCAAAAATTTAATAATGAAGAAGGCAATATCCCCCCAAACTGATCTACAGATTTAAATCAATGCCTATCAGAATACCATCTGGTTGCTGTGTAGACATGAACAAGTTAACCCTAAAATTCACGTGGGATTTCAGGAGACCTAAGACCATCTTAGGAAAAGAAAAAAGGTTCAAGGACTCATTCTCCTCGACTTCAGAACTTACTGCAAAGCTACAGTAATCAAGATACTGTGGTACTGGAGTAAAAGATACAAGTGTAGATAAATGGAATGAAATTTCGAGTCCGGAAATAAAGCCTTACATTTATGGTCAACTGATTTTCAACAATAGTGCCAAGACCATTCAAAGGAGGAAAGGATAGTCTTTTAAACAAACAGTGCTGGGAAAAGTGGATAGCCCCATGCGAAAGGGTGAAGTTGAACCTTTATTCACACCACACAAGAAAATTAACTCCACATGGACCGTAGACCTAGATGTAAGAGCTAAACCTACTTGCAAACCATGTTCATTAGAACACACACCACCTCGCCACAGTCTCACTCCTTCGTTGGCCTCTGCTTTTTCTTCTATTTACAATTGATATTTATAAACATATTTAGAATGCACAGCCTAGAAAGATCGCATGTGCTGTGTATTAATGCACTGTAAGGATGGCTACACTCTAGGAGAGTAAGGATTAGAGAAGATGTGGAGAAACTGGAACCCTCACGTATTGCTGATGAGAATGGAAATTCCTCAAAAGTTAAACAGAAGAGTTATCACAGGGCCAAGTAATTCTACACAACGTCCAATATCCAAAAGGATTTAAAACATATCCACCCAGAAACTGTGAATGAATGTTAACAGAAACATTGTTCATAATAGCTAGAAACAACCCAAATGTCCAGCAACAAATGAATGGATGAACAAAATGCCATCTATGAAAACGATGGAATCTGAGCCATAAAAAAGAACAGAATGCTGATGCTGATGCATGCTGGAACGTGCATGAACCTTAGAAACAGCATTTCTTTTTTTTTTTTTTTTTTTTTTGAGAAAGAGTCTCACTGTGTTGCCCTCGGTAGAGTGCCACAGCTCACAGCAGCCTGAAACTCTTGGGCTTAAGCGATTCTCCTGCCTCAGCCTCCCAAGTAGCGGGGACTACAAGCACCTGCCACAACACCCGGCTATTTTCTTGTTGTAGTTGTCATTGTTTAAGCTGATCCAGGCTGGGTTCGAACCCGCCAGCATGGATGTATGTGGCCGGCACCCTACCCATTGAGCTACGGTCACCACCCGAGAAACATCATTCTTAGTGTAAGAAGCCAGACACAAAAGGCACATATTGTATGATTCCATGGATATGATATGTCCAGAAAAGACAGCTCCATTAAGAGTAAATTCATGGTGCTTAGTGGAAGGAGAAATGGGGAATCACTGCTGACAGGGGTGGGGTTTCTTTCTGCAGTGATGAAAATATTCTACACATATAATTAAATTGTGATGGTTGCAGAACTCTGAATATACCCAAAACTGAATATACTGAATTGTATACTTTAAAGGGATAAATTTTACCTTTTGTGAACTACATATTAATAAATTTATTTCTCTAAAAACTATAAGGTTACAAAATGAGAATTAACAAAAATAATTTAATAGGGCAAGGCGTGGTAGCCTGTAATCCCAGCACTCTGGGAGGACAAGGCTGGTGGATTGCCTGAGCTTACAGGTTCAAGACCAGGATTGAGCAAGACTGAGACCCCATCTCTAAAAAAAGAAAAACATAGCAGGGGCTTGGCACCTGTAGCACAGTGGTTACAGTGCTGGCCACATACACCGAAGCTGGCGGGTTCAAACCCAGCACAGGCAGCTAAACAACAATGACAACAACGACAACAAAAATAGCCAGTAGTTGTAGCAGGTGCCTGTAGTCCCAGCTAGCTGGGAGGCTGAGGCAAGAGAATCGCTTAAGTCCAAGAGTTTGAAGTTGCTGTGAGCTGTGACACCACAGCACTCTACCAAGGGCAACATAATGAGATTCTATTTCAAAAAAAAAAA